AAAAAGGTCACCAATGAAAATAATTGGGTGGCATTATGTTTATTCTTTCATAATGGTATAAACCCTTAACTTCTGAGTATATTAGGAAGCAGCAAATATGTAAAATACGATATACATAATAAAAGTGACTTAACTGAAAAGAATATAAATTACAGTTACTCATTCAGCACCGGATGCGAATATAATTTCATTCATACAAAAATAAAATAATTTAACAGCTACCGGTTACTGTTAACAGTTATTGGGGCATAACCTAAATAAAAAAAGTTCGCCGAATCAAAATAATATAATAACTCAAATATTCCTGGTCTGTATTTTGTTGTTTAAGTACGCACAGAGGCGTAACCCGGCCTCCTGAAGAATCTAGGCATATTGACCACATATTACTTTTCATCTTTTATATACAATAAACTCGTTTTGTACCATTTAATAAAAATAACAAAACTTCTATAAACACTATTACATATTATTTATATTGTTTTAATGGGCATTTTATTAAAATTTTAGACCAATTTCAGCTTTTTAATTTATTGGCCCCCCCTCTTAAAATGCTCTCCCCCACCCCCGAGTGGAAAACCTGGCTACGCCACTGTGTACGCATCAGAAAACCAAATAAGAAATTTTTTAATTACCAAACGATAACAACTTACCTTCAACGATTAAAACATTCTTACCTCCTTCGTTTCACGATACATTTCGGACACACACACACTCACAGAAGTCGTGAAAATTTCAGGAATTTTTGGACTTCTGACAAAATCTCAAAATTTTTAGTGTGTTTTTCTCGAAGTGTGCGACTTTCTCGCTCTTTCAGTTATATAGTACATATATACTTTTGAAAATCATAACTAAAAGGACGGTTAAAGACATACCTTAACTTCTCTTATGGGAAACAGTTAACTGTAGGTGTCATAGCTGTATATATCTTTTCATTTCCTTTAAATGGGAGCTTCGCCGCTGATATGTATGTGAAAGTGTTATGTCTGTTTTAATATATTTGTTTGTTAAAGAAGACCCTCCCCCCAATGGCACAGCGGTATGTCTGCGGACTTACAACGCTAGAATCCGGGTTTCGATACTCGTGATGGGCAGAGCACAGATAGCCCATTGTGTAGCTTTGTGCTTAATAACAAACAAACAATTGTTAAAGAACATAATTGTATTATTATAATATTAAAAAGAGATAATACGTTTGAGACAATTCAGTGTCGCACATAAACCATTGCCACTATAAATATTAAACACTTGAGATTCTCGCAGAATTGCTATGTATTTGCCCGTAGATACCCATTTAAAATTTCTGCAGATTTTTTTCCCCGCATATCTGTGGATTTGGGTTGCATCTAGTTGTAAAGCGCATGAGTACAGAGGTGTGTTTCATTAAGCCAATCACAGACACTCATCTCTCGTGCGTCGTGGCTGAGAAGATGAAGGGACAATGGCGACCTCCAGAATCTACCATTATATAAAGGATAATATTAATATTTAATTTGGGAATTTTGTTAAACTATTTTAGATGCCATGTATGTACTGATGTTTTGGCATGTATTTAACGTTTTAGTTGCTATTGTCAACCCCGGAATTCATTCTTAAATTTCTACCTTCTATACCAGCTGTAAATTTCGTGTATTTCGTGAGTTAAGTATACTACTATGCAGTACTTATTTTCTTACTGAAGGCTTCTTCTTGGGCATGCGCAATTGCAATTCTTTGTCTGTTAGAAAGTAAAAACTATATAAAATGCTGCTTTCAAGATTTTGTCATTGTGTTCAATATGTGAGTTGTATTTGTATAGATTTATCTCGCCTTTTTGTTTGGTTATATATATATATTACGTAGTATCACGTGGGCTAACTCTCTAGCAGAACCTCACGCACATCGATAAGCCTCTTAAAAAGCACGTGGTATTAGTCAATTTTCCATTTTTGTTCAGTTCAAGCACAAATGTGGTCATCTGAATGCAAACTATTTAGGGGTTAGTGATCTTTTTCAAATATTCAGCAAATCAAAACGGGTCTTCTACGAAAACTAGAAGTTATCAGCGAATAATCTTTCTATAGCTGGACTTACATAACAAAAACAAAACCCACCAACCGTCTACTGACGTCAAACCAAGTATCTCCATATACAATCAGCGAAATATCTTTTAAATAAACACAAGTATATATCAGTCATATCTATGAAATAAACTTTATATATATATATCATACATTTGCGTTAATCCGAAGGGCAATAGCTGGATGATATAACGCATTTGTTTTATAATGAGTTGATAAAAAAAAAGGTTAATACTAACATCAGTAACACAACCTTCAACTGTGTAAGACTTACTCAGGTTGTTTACTGGTATTTGTTATATTCCGTTTATCGGGACCATCTTTCTTTAAAGAAATATTTTCTTTTATGACAAAGATGTTGAAATATTGAAAATTTTCTTTGTTCATATCATTTTTAACGCAGTATAATCTGTGTTAATTGTTAGTTAATTAAAACAAACCTAATGCACTAAAAATTATCTCGTATGTTCTAATATTAATCTCTGCTGGCATTGTCTCTTTGTAAACCAATAGTCCCGCCCTTCCTGTATTTATCTCTGTGTTAGTCTCCTCAATTGTTCATGAAAGCATTACATTTACCGGTTTTAGAATAAAACATTGAAAGTAATCCTTCAGCTCACGTAACCTTCTATTTATTTGTTATTTTTTATACGTTACAGAACAATCGTCTTCTCAACCATACTTTTATACTTTACAGAACAATCGTCTTCTCAACAACCAATATATCGTTCAAATAGTTGTGTGGGCTTTATAGTTGAATTTCTTCGATCAGTAAATAAAAAAGTTTTTTTTTCCAATGAATGCCTTAAATTCCCACCCTTAAGCTTACCAATAGGGACACAATTTTTAAATAAATGTTTCCAAATATTTATGCACCAAATTACTTGTGGATCCGTGTTTTGTATTGGTTACGGAACCACTAACAACATGAGTCGCACACACACACTCAATTAAATAATCAAAAACGTCGTTAATACTGCAATTAATCTCACATATTTCATTGAAAAGAGTAATCTCATTTAATATTTTCGGGTGGTTACTTCTTTACTTTGAATGTTGCAACAGGCAAAATCAAAGCATTATTTAACATGATGCAGTATGTGGACACCACCGGTAGTGAGCGGTATGAAAACAAGTCGGTAATTTGAGGGTTAAAACTGACAAGTTGAGTAGTTTTCAAATCGTTTTCCTACAAATAAGCTTTGTTTTAAACGGTAAAAGTACTTATAAACATGCTCTGAAGAAAATCGTTTTTTAATATTGTAGAACTCTAGCCAGAAAAGTTACATATATTGGAATTCAAAAATAACTCTTATATATATATATATCATTATTATTAAGCGGCCAATAATCATCATCAAGACTATAACCACCGTGTAAGTTACGGCAAACAGAAACCAACACCTATTCTGCATGAATTTCTCTAAGAATGAATATAACAAATAATAATAACCAAATATACCACTATGTAGATATTTAAAAGATGTATTTAAAATAATATAACTCGTTAAAGAATCATATTGCTTTGTATTACTTTTACATGTAGTAATACATATGACCTTGAAATAATAGTTAATAAACACGTAACGAGACGATCGTTGTCATACTTTCTATCAGGCTCAACTGCTGTAGAATTACGGATTTATAAACGATCAGCTTATTATATTAGTTACGTGACTTCGTATTGTTTCTAACTAACTTTTGAATATGATTCCTGCCCACGGGACGTATTGTAACGCAAGTTAAAGAGCTTTATAAGCCACGCCTAGTTCTTTCATAGGTTCAAGTTCAATGGCCCAGCTGTACCGGGCAAGGTCAAGATTTCCCACGGGCCTGGAGACCGATCTCACCGTAAATCCTTTGTTCTAGATGTGGTTGTCACGAATATATATATATATAATTTAATTATGGAACCTTTTTAAAAACGCCATTAACAAATATTCTAATTAAACTAATTTCTCTCAACTCACGAATTTTGTTTACATGTACTTAACTTATTTTTCTTATGAAAGGTAAGGTCACTCACTAGCTGACAGTGATGCCGTGATACGAATTTTGATGTGAGATTTTACACTTGAACTTTAAAAATTCTCTTCCACACCCTTTTTGTCACTTATTTCTTTTTTTATCTTTGTATATCTGTATGATTTAAACGATAAAATTTAGTGATGAAGATTATTTTTTGCGTGCACTTTAAACACTTATACCGGGCGGATTATTCAGCTTTATAGCAGCAAAATTGTGGTCATTAGTCGCAGCAACTGTCATGTCAAATGTTTTACAATGTGAAACACAAAGACTTGTGAGACACAAAGAAGCATGTATGTTTTCTCGGAACAAAACTAAAGATATTTCTTCACTTGTATTTAAATACTAGGCCTATGAGGCGCGAATGCAATTATAAGAAAGACCAATAAAGTGTAAAGATTATGTTATAACGTGAGGTGCAGATTTTATATACGTATATTCCGCCCCCACCCTCTCAAGAGAAAAGGAGAATTGAATTAATTTATTTATTTACTTCATTTATTTCAAATAAAGTGTTTTAAGATTGTTAATGAACAAAACAACGCCTTTAATTATTATCCTTGTTAATATGTTATTAACAAAACTTTTACGTCTTATGTTCTATAATAAAATAATCAAAATTATCTTTCTTTTTATTACTTTTTTGATTGTTTCTTCTTGTCTTTTTGTGATCAAATAGGTCGACAGGTTTTCTGTTTGTTTGTTTTTTTCAAAAGTTTGTATCTCTACCATGTGTTAACAATAATAATAATAATACAAAAAAATGTGATTAAATTGGTTCCATCATTCTTTTCTAAGTTAAAACTTTCACTAATCAAAGTTTTTGGTTAGAATATTCAAGGTATCTAAATCATGATGCCAAAAATGGTTTTCTTCCAAATCTGAAACGGTATATTTTATATCACAGACACTAACCTTAGGCCTTTTCCACACAAACTGGAATGGCGGCGTTTGATGATAAAAGACGGAAGATTGGACAGTTGGAAAGTCTGGATCTTCGAAGAGTTCTCCCCGTTTCAGACATGCCCGTTTCAGCTTATCAATTTCCGACATAGTATCCACCATCACACCTGTAGGGGACAGTACAAACAATAATGTTACCTTCAGTTCCGCAAGAATGTGTCCACCACAATATACCAGTAGATACAACTCCAAGAATCAGAAGAACCTCACGTCGACTGTGACAATTATAGCATGAATATACATATTCTAAACGCTCACTGTCTGTAACACATAAATATAACCCACTGAGATTAACAAATTAATGTACAAAACGTATAAAAAAATAAGTTACTGTTTAATACAATACAATTAAGGTTGCGATATACAATAGAGCTAGAAACCGTGACTGGATTAAGAGTTGACTGCGTGAATGTGCTTCTAGACAAGTACACGTTTATTAATATTTGTTTCTAATACAGCTTTAGAATTGGTCAAGAATTACAATTACATATAAATTCTCTTAAATTAAGCGTGTTTTGTTATTGGTGCTTCTGCTTGTTAGTTTTCCGTATTTATATTTTAAAAAAGAAAGATAATGTTTCCATAATAAAAACAAACACAATTTACAACAGGTGTAGGCAGAAACTGATGGATGAGTATTCGTGACTATTGTCAAGGAATTAGCTGTAAAAAGCTAACCGGATACGTGATACAGTCTACAGTAACGTGGCTCAAAATGGGTACGTTGTGCTAAAAATCTAACTATCAGAACATTGTTAGAACAGTATAAAATATAACCTGTGAAGAAACGTAATAAAAACTACTAGTCGTGAGTAAAAACTAAATACTTTTGTATTCGTAGTGAAGCCTGACGTATCTGAGATACTGCTCAAAATCAACTGTGTTTAGAAGAGCTTATTATCATCTAGTTTGTGTCTTTACTGTTACTTGTATCTCGAAGATAACTGAAAAGCTATGGTGATAACTGTCTCAAATGTTTCGTGAGTCGATGGTGTGTAACTGATTACGTATATTAAAATTAATTTAGAATTCGCACAATTGGTGCTGCTGAGCTAGTAAGTGTTAGCCTTAGGCCTAATTATACTTCTTTAGGTAAATGTCCTACAAAACAAGTATTTCAGTCTCGTTTTAATAGTCAACGGTTCAGTTAATCTTCATAGAAAGTAATTATAAAATAATATGAGGTATTCTGATCTCGCAACTTCGGAAAGTAGGTATGATATCATCTGAGACTGCTTTCTATGAGGAAATAAAAAGGAAAAATATACCGAATGTTGAACGTTTTTGAAATGGCAGTTTTATGTAAAACACTAATTTTTAACTTCATAAACATGATGTGAATGTATGAAGTTGAATAAATAAATAATTCCACAAATCTTTCCTCAGAGATTAACTTTACAAAAGTAAAACCTAATGTGAAATCTTACAAGCTAGTTCAACTTTCTTGTGGGTGGTAGTTTAACTTCAAGTTAATAAGTATCTATACACTGTAAGTATATACGTGCTAATTTAACCACAAACTCCTGCGAACACCGCTAGATTATTTTCGGACAAATTTCAGGTAGAATTTATAGACAAATTACCAAACTAAATAATATTGTTTTATTTACGTGTAAACAAAAAAAATAGTGTTTAAAAAACTACTCTCTCTCTCTTTTTATAATTAACACTACGTTTACTAGGTTATAGATAGAAACAACATGCAGGTGACAAGCTTTGTTTCAATATAATTTATAGACAAATTAC